ACTGAAGTAGGATAGGGAGCAGATGCATCCCAAACAACGCCTATAAACTGGCATTAGGAACAGTGAAGTCCTATATCAGGAGAGGGAAAAATAATAGTGGCTGTCTTGAGTCCAGGAGCAAGAGTTCTCAGCAGTAGGAAAATGGACTTTACAAAGCTTTGCATTTCAAAGAAAACAGCAGCTTTGTTTTGATTTGAAATAAACCTCAGCAGAGCTCCTGCCCCCCCCAAAATTTCAGCTCCCAAATTCAGCTGATAATTTGCTATTAGATAAGTTGAGAGCTGGCACAAATGCCTTAAGCAGAGATGAATAATCTCACCTAGTAGGAAATGGTTGAAGTGTTTCAGCAGCCTGCCCCAGAGATGTTTGAACCGTTATACTATCATCCTTATTGTTCTTGAAGAGCCATGAGACATGGGTCTTCAGAAGGGCATCTGGGGACAGATGATCATAATATCCTGAATGGGTTGGTTGTAATTAGCTGTTATTTAATTCTTAGGAAGTTGTATACTGCTCAGTTACTTGACTGGAGCAACATATAAATCTAAGTAAGTATATAAATAAATACACATGAAAAGGTCCCTGAAAACTTCAGGATTATCCCTTCCATTCCTTTACCTGAGCTTTTTATAAATATACTGAACAATGAAAACTGAGCCAAAATCCTATGATCCATTTGTCACTTGGGATACAGATTATTAGTCAGTTTCAGTTCCACTTAACAGCAGCATAAACTATAATGCCTTGTAATTTTAATTATCATCAATTATCTTGGAAGTTACTTAATATTTGTTTAGGATACATTATTAAATTGTTCTATTATATTTTAATTGGTATTTATCTTTTCTGTAAACCGCCCAGAGTCGTTTTTTAATGAGATGGGCGGTGACAAATTTGATATCTAAATAAATAAATAACCAACAAGATCAAGCTTTATCATGGTATCACTTATTTGGCTTGCTCATCATCCTACAGGTATCTTAAATGCAATCTGGATCTCCTCTCCTGGCCCCTGGTCAACCTTACCATCTATGGCTCTAATCTGTGTTCTTTTGTGGTGAAAAGTCAAATGGGAGGTAAGTATATGATAGTGCTTTCTCTTGACAACAGACACACTGGAGAGAAAGAGATTGTCAAGCCGCTGGTGTTTTGGGCTGCCTGCAATAAGCTGTTGCCAGATTGCAGGCAGTGGTGTGAGAGATGGATATAACTCCCGAAATAGATATGAGGTAGAGTTCCCCTGCATGTGGTAGGCCGCACTGTAAGGGATTCTATGAAAAAAAAACCTTGTGAAATCTCAGGATGACATGTCATGTTAGTTCTTAGGAAGTGGTGCTTTCCCTCCCAAATGCTTATAGAGCAACTGCTTCATAATTCCTTTCTAGAACCATGCTTGGTAGCCATAGCCTCTGGTTAATTAGCAGCTCCTTTTTTCCCCGCTTTCTGAAATCAGGAGGTCTGCCTTCTTCCAGTCTCAGAGCACTTCATTTCTGCTCCTCTACAATGAGCCACTTTTATGCAGACAGTGGTTTATTAGCCTGATGCTGAATGGCCCAAGACTATTACTTGCAATCGAACTAATTCCTTTTGTTCAAATCTGTCAAGAGCAGGGGGAAATAAACTCAGTGTTTTCCTTCCACTCAGCTTTCAGCTTCAGATATGACTAATGCAGCTTTGCTTTAATTGGCAAAGGGAAGGCAATCCTATGACTCAGACACCACTATAAACAGTACTGACTATTTCTAAAGTAAAAGTACCACGGCACCACAAATGACTCAATCATTTCCTAAGAGTTATTACTTATAGTGATGAAGCCACGTTAATTAGATAATGGCTGGCTGCCAGCTAATATTGGCATGACCTACTATACCCTTGGCTCACAGCCATGCATATCTTTCTGTCACATTTTTTCCCCTTTAGTAATCTAGATGGGAAGTGGGAAATATTCCCAATTGCTATTTAAATTCTTATCATGAATTAAAAGATTAATTAAAATGTCTTGTCAAAAAGGACTGGGTTTTACAAGTAAATAAAGAAAAGTGAAAAGGAATATAGATCAAACCAAGCCTATAATTTTAACCTCTTTCTTGGAAAATAACCGATTTGAATTTAACAGGGCCCGTTTTCAACATGTATTTAGAAAAGGATTCCTCTTTTTCCATGTGTACAATGTGTCGTAAAGCCTGAATCCAATTCAGGAGAAGGAAATAGACCAAAACACCCACCACGTATTTTTAATATACAAGATTAGGATTTGTGAGAGTCTTAGGTTGCAATCCTATCCACGCTTCCATGCAAATCCCATAGAATTAAATGCTTTATAGAATAGCTGCATTTGATATGCATCCTATAGTGTAACTGAGTCAGCATTTAACTAGCAAGACTAGCATAAAATGCTACTGATATTGATTTATTGCATGTCCTTAAGGATTAATGCATTTAGTATCTCTTACCACTTTTGTATTACAACAGTCTTATGACTTTCAGTTTTATTCTGTAGCTGAGACAGTAAATCTTGTCAAGAAATGTCAAGGAGTTGAATTCATTGACTGAGATCATCTTTATCAACTTGAAGGGGACATGGCTTTGCTAGTAATAATACTTCTGATTACCAGTTTATGACTTGTTTAAAGTGACAATTCATATCTTAACTGGGATATGAAAAGGGTACAACTCCCACCAATCCAGTTTCATTGGCTAGGACTCAAAGGAGCTCTACTGAAAACATTTTGAAGTCACCAAAAAAATGAGCTTCCTACCCATTATGATCATAAAAGGCAAAGTAACAGAGGACTATTAGCTGAATAAGAAAGGAAAAACAAGGGATGAATTTAAAAAAATGAGAAGAACAAAACAATCCATACATGCTCCAAACCCTAATCACTGGAAGCCTTGCTGAATGCCTTCTCCTCTTTTCTAGGCCTTCTAGAAGGAAATGCCTACACTGTCACCGACAGCAGGTGTAGACTGTTTGCACCCTTCTAACTCCAGGTCATATTGCCAAAATTCAGAAGATGCCATTATGGAAATGCATTTTTTAAAATTAGTAAAATAGATATGGCAAATCTTATGCTAAATAACTTTAGTACCATTTATTATAATATTATGCATGTCCACAAATGCACACAGAGAGAGGCTTCCCTTACTTTATGCTAAGATTACATTCCCTGAAAACTTCACAGGAAGCAAATCTGCAGAGACACTGAAACAAGGGAAAAAAGGGGGATGGCAGAATATGGTGTTAAATTCTGTAACACAAATGTATCGACAAATGTGCTCGTAAATGTTTAAAGCCTAACTGTAAAGCACTACATTATTTAAACATGTTTTGTTCTTTGTTTCATGTTCTATGTATAGTGAAGGCATTTTTCTCCATCTTTTCTATAGTTGGATTTTTAATGCATGTGGTGTCATGGCAGAGAAAGAAGTACATAGAATGGATCATGGCATCACACATTTTATTGCACAAAGTAGATTTCCCCCCGGTTAAAACTCATCTTAGGGCTGAGGATCTTTCACCAGTTTTTGTGTGACATAATATGTCCAACTTTGATTCTAGAATTAGAGAGGTCCTTTTTGACTTTGGGCAAGATGCGATTTTGACCCTATAGTAACAGTAGTAACTATTGCAAGTACAGAACTAAGTGGGAGGCAGGAGGTACAATGCATGACTGAGGACAGAAAGGAGTTATGGTGGGAAAATGGTCAGGTGGTTTTGGTGGAAAGAAATCTTGTCATATTTCAAGATCTTTAGTATAAATCGACTATGTTGACACAAATTGCATAATAACATTTTTTTCCGCATAAAGCAAATTCTTGGATAAACATAATCAATTGCATAATACTGAGCTTACATAATTTACGTATATGGTGACACCCTATTATGTGTACAATTTTAAAAATTAGATGCAATGTATATCATGACATAAAACACATTCTTAATTAATTGGGGGTTTGATAATATACTGATCTTTAGTGTGCCGGGCCTGTTTAATTACTGAATCTGTCAACACTTTAAGCTTATTTGGAGGCATATAAAAGATACCTTACATTATGTACTTTTCAAGCAAAGAAGCTTAAGCGAATGCTCTTTCAAATATTTTCAAGTATTACGCAATTACTTATAGCCGTGCAAAAGTGTCCTAATGACCCTCTCTTAACCTGGCAAATCTGGGCTTGGAAGCTGTTTTCCTTGACAAAGTACCGAACTTGGAAAAAGATTTGCTGAGCACCCTGCTCTCTTTGGTGTTTTATGTTAAATGTATTCCCTTTTTCCTGATTCATTTTCTCCAGTCTGGGAAGTTACTTTTCAATGCGGAATTTACAAAGCAGTGGACGCTTTCACTTGCACAATAGCCAATTCCAACCCCAAATTCCAGCTAGTCACCTCTTCTTTTCTGTAGCAATGCACCCAGGTATAAAAAACATCCCAAGGAATCCCAGCACTTTGCTAGGGTAAAAGCGGAGGTGTTTTCGTGTGTTTAAGTCCCACTGAGGTCTTTTGAACAAAACCTGAACTAGCGAAGCAGAATTAATCATCCCGCTTCTGGTTTAGCTTTGAGATGTTTACTTCTCTAAAGTGCACTGCAATTTGGCTTAGGGTGGTCATGTTTTTACAAGTTCTTTTTAAAGCACTGGATGAGGGATTCACTAGGTCCATTGTGCTGTTAGGACCCCTTCCTGCTTTTCCTCTTCCTTCCTTCTCATTTGATGCTTCCTTGCTCCCGGCAGGCTGTTTCCTTTGCATTTGCTCTCTAACCCTGCAGATCAGAGGGTGCCTGTTTCAGCATCACATCCTACTATCATTCTCAGGATTAACACACCCTCCAGCAGAGTCTGATCTGAGAACATGCAGAGCTTTGGGAATTACATTTAAAACCTTCAGGTTTATCTGATTCCTAAGCAGTTGGGCACAAAAAGAGAGGAGATTGTTTTCTTTCCTAGCTGCCATGTTTGAAAGGCTGCTTTTTAAGTGGCACGTGAACAATGGCATACTATACCTCTTCTGGCAGGCTGACAACCAGGTCATTTTCTGTCTGCCCGACTAACACCTGCAAGAAGTATTCGCTGCATGCAGCCAGCACAGCCCGGTGGGCTCGGAACTCTTTGCCCTCCACAATCAAAGTCACGTCACAGAGAATATCCTGCTTCCGCTGGTCATTGAGGCATAGGAGGATATTGGTACAATGGACTGTTGACTCATACACATACATGGGGGATTCAGTCTTCTCATCCACAGACATTCCGTTCACACCCTAAAATAGAAGCAACAAACAATAAGGGAGAGATAGAGGGCCAAAGAGAGTTATTACAGTGCTTGCAAAAAAAGGAAGATTACATCATGATTTCTGCACCCTGCATAGTTTAGCCAGCTCTCTGCAGAACTGCTGATCAGCACTTTAATTCTTAGCTACAACAAAGAATTCAAGAAATCTCTCTCTCTGGAAAGACAACTGCACTATAAGCTTTTTACTCAACCCACTTAGTTGGCTTTTTCTTCTCCACAATGCTGAATGAGAGGGATGGATTTTAAGAAATGTTGAAGGCTATTATTAAACACTGTTTTAATAGTATAAGCTGCCTGGAGAAAAGGGGATAGAATAAAATATTTGAGACAATCTTTGTAAAACGGACTATTCAACCTATGGTTTTTAGGTATTTTAGAATTACTGGTGCTTATTGGCACTACAGGGAACTGTAGTTGACATTCTCAATATTACTGTAGGTCTCCAATTTCAAGGACAAGTTCTTATCCTTATTGGCTGAGGATTTTTACATGCAAGGCACATATTATATCACTTTAAAATGACACATGAGCAGCGTATATCTTACTATACTGGTTTAGATATTATGATAGCAGAAGCCAGCAGAATTATGACATAGCTATGCTTAAAATCCTAAAACAGAACTTGCAAAGATTGTCTCAGTTATCTTATATAAAATCTGAAAAGTAGAGCTGCAATTACTCAGTGGGGCTAATGGAGGAGGCCTGAAGGTTAGTGGTTTGCCGAACTACATCTTGAAAGTTCATAGGAGATGGAACTTGAATTAGGAACTACCTGGCCCAGAGCTAATGCACTTAGGCACTGCACTGAAACACATACTTACATGGAAATAAGTTTCCCTGGAATTCTATGAGATTTAGGTTGAGGTAGACCTGAAATGTACTTCTAAATGCAGTGCTTTACTTTCTTCAATAGAAATAAATACCAGTAATTGAATACAAACTTATAAGTATGATATGACAAGGGAACAAAATAACAGGAGACAGACCCTAAGAAGGAGACAAGACTGTAGTATAGCAACATACTTAACATTTAAAAGCTTCGCAAAACTCAAAAGAAATACAGCAAAGGAATTAATAATTCAAGTACATGTATCAGGAATCACCTAATGCGGTAAAATGTTACATTTAAAAAATGGTGAAAACAAAATGTGGGCATCTGCCAGGGGAGTGAATAAATGTGTCATGATACAATCTCTACCCTTTTAATACTTGCATTGTGACACTACATGCACACACATAAGAACTGGAGCTCGCATTACATCATTTCACACAATGAAATCTCAGTTTGCTGCGGACACCTGTGAAACACAATTGTGTTCTTGAATGTATAATTGCACTTTGTCTATGCAAAATAATATAAGGTAAGAAGGTTTTCCCCAAAGAAACATTAGACAGAAAAATGGAACAGAACCTCTTTACTGCATTCTTAACTCCTGTCCTCCCATCCCCGTTTTAAAAATGAATTATTTGGAGAAAGAAGTCTTTATGAAGCTGATACCAACTAGGCCAAAGATCTTACCCTAACTGAAGAAGCAAAGGTAAGATGTCAGAGAAACTACTATTTGTTTAAATTAAAAACTACAAATTGGATACAGACTGGAAAAACTAGGCTTATTTTTTATTACTCTTATTGCTCCATTTGCCTTTTATACAATGGTATTAAAATGTATCCTGCCTTTAAAAATGGAGTAAGACTTAAAAACGATTGCCTCATCCTTGTGATTGTTTTCTTCAGTGTCTCTGAAGAAAAATAAACAAACATTAGACTTTCAAGTTTCCAAGCTTTCTGGGCTGGGTGATACATTTGGAGTATTTTGCACCCCAGCAAAATGATTGTGGTGGAAGGAAGCTTGCCCATTTGTGAGATGAAAGACAGAACCAGTTACAAGTAATGCTTTACCAGAATGCTACTGACACCTCTTCTAATTGTCCTTCTTTCTTGCAGGAAACTCCGAACTCCCTGCTTCCTAGCTTTGTCTTTTTCCTGGGAAGATAGCCTGGAAAATATCAGGCTGCAGCTATTCATCATTTTTATTTTCAAAGAAATAATTTAGGGCCCATACCATTCTTAGAAGTAAAAGTAATGCTGAAGGCTAGCAACATGCTAGCTTCCTTAAAAAAAAAAAAAAAAGATTAATGGCTTGGATAAAGAAGTGGAAGGAATGCTTATCAAACTTGCAGATGATATAAAACTGGGTAGGATAGCAAATACCTTAGAAAACAGAAGTAACGTTCAAAACTGTTAGAAAAATGGGCTGAAAGTAACAGAATGAAATTTAGTTGAGACAGATGGGAAGTCCTTAACTTGTGAAATAAAACACAAATGTGTATAATAGGGATTTGGCTTTGTAATAGCAAGGTCCTGGACTTGTAGTTGATTGCAAATTAAATATAAGACAATCAAGTGATAATTTTAGGCCTCAATCAACAGAGGTATAATTTCCAAATCTGAGAAAAATAATCATTCCACCTTATTTTACTTTGGTCAAACTTCATGCTAAGAATGGTGTTCAGAAACTGGCAGTTTCAGAGAAAGTAACAAGAGGAGGTTTGGGGATTAGAAGCTGGGTCCTATGAAGAGAGATGGATAGAGCTGGTTTTCAGCCTTGATTAAAGACTACTGGTGGTGGACATGACAGCACTCTTCAAACATCTGAAAGGATGTCACCATCTTTAAGAGCTGTTTATTTTTGTTCTAGAAGACAGGATAAAGAATGGATTTTAGTTATGGAAAGGCAGATTCTGACTGTCAGAAAGTTCCCAACAGTAAGAGGAGTGTGAGAATGAATCCATTTACCATTTACCTCTCTTTAATTAGATATACTCAAGAGGAGAATAGGCTGCCATTCCTGCACTAATCAGGGGGTTGGATTCAGTCGCTTAAATGACTCCTTCCAAACTGCTGATTCTATGATTCTAATAGGAAGACAACTTAAATGCATCATTTGGATTTATTCATGCTTTTCAAGCCATATAAAATTAGATACAGAACTAAAAGATGTAACTCAAAAAAGGCAGTGAAAGTTATTACAAATTGACAGGATGAAGACTGACTACCAAAGAGGAATATGCTCTAAGAAGAACAATAAGATATGACATCATTCTATAACTAATAGATAACACTGGAAATGTCCTTTTTCAGTGAATGAAAAGCTGCTCCCTTCTTTGAAAGTAAACAGTAAGAAAATGGGCACAAGGGTTAAAATCAAGGACTCATGATATGTAGTTGTCACAGCACCAAAGATATCTATTTCTCAGGTCATCTTCTAGTCCCCTATCTAATTCCACCTCTTGCTAAGAAGTGTTATTGTGGCTGTTTCCAAAATATCCAGGGGATCCAAACTGGGCAATGCTTCAGAGCAACAGTGAGGGCTTCCAGAAAGCAGCACATTGAACAAAAGACATCTCCATATTTCTGGCTGTCACCAAGACTGAAACACAGATATCAGGCAGCACCTCATTTGTCTCCATAGCGAGGCTGCCCTAAGAACTTTGAAGTGCAACCAGAGAAGAAGAATCTACCCTTCTCTGTGCTAATGACAGTGGGTTCTGGGTAGGTCAGGGGCAATGGCAACCACATATAAATGTTTGATTAGTAATGCAAGCTGAAATCTATGGACCAAAGGGATTGTGGGAAATTAAAACACAGCCTCCCTTCCCATGGGAAGGCCTAAGCAAAGGAGTATGCTGAAACACTGACAAGCTGGCTCAGAATGCCAAGTGCTGATAGTACCTGAACCAGAGCACCATATCAGGATGCATTAGCTAGCAGGCCCTGTTGGCATGAAGCCTGATCAGATAACAGCACCAGGCTGACTTTGGTTACCTCAAAAAAGCTCTGCAGGGTGGACCTGGTTAGTGCTTGGATGGGGACCCCAGGAAATCCTGGGCTGCCAGGAAAACATCCCAGAAGGCAGCTGTTGCAAATTACTTCTGTACCTTCCACAAAACTAGCCAGATGTGTCCAGGTAGTTGACAGGAGTAGTTGAGAGACTTGTTCACTTCACTGTTCACTTACATACTGGCACAGGAGAGTCAGTATATAATGGGATATAAATGGAGAGAGTGAATGAGGGGACATTTACTTATGGTGGCTGTAGAAAGACCTTCCATACAAAACAGCTGGAGATTGAAGAACATGTTAGAGGAATGTCATACATGATATCATGAATTAAATAGTATGTTCTGTGAAATACTTCTGTCACAGTTATGTATGTTTATATAGATTATTTTTAAAGGAAATATTAAGCCTATAAAATAGGTATTGGAGAAATAAGGGTTTATCTAATATACAAAGGAACTATATTTTTCTAATTCCATAATATGTTAACTTTGCAGCTCTGTTAATGTCTTTAAGGCAGAAACAGGACAGTGGAAATAACCAAGGATAACGCAATCTCTAATCAGATTCATTCATTTATATTGCTGCCCCACAACCTACTAAAAGCATGTAAATAATCTAATTGCAGGAAAAAAGTTCCCACAATTAGAGCTATTCACACACAGGTCAGTATATTAATCTGTTTCAAAAGTCTAAATTATAAGCAGACTCCACTGCAGAATCAACACAGTTAGCTTCTCAAATATAAATGGAATTAAGAATCACTAAAGTTTGTTACATAGCTAACTAGTTAAGCAGAGTTCCTCCTCTCAAAGCTATAAAATCTCCTATATAAAATATACTAATGCTGCCATATTCATTTATTTACTTACTTAATTTGCATATATACAGTGCTTCCCTGTATATAAATCTGAGTTAACTTACATATTTTTTAACTGATTTGTAATAGAGA